TTATGCTAAAACAAAAATAAAATATTTAAAATAAACTTACCTTGCTCTGACATTGAGATATATGCAGGATAATTGGTTGAAACAACATACCCATTACTTTGATTATCTACAGAAGAACTTGATTGACAACATCCTGTGCATCCAACATAGCCAAATTAACAACTAAAACCATTTTGAAGGAAAGAATTGTAGTGCATTTCAAATATATATACTTTTCATCCTCTTTGATCTAGCTAGTTGTTGTTGTATTGAATGTTGAGTTGAAGGAACACTGAGATATTTAATTTATCATTAATACAACAAAGCATATTCAACGACGAACTTAATATGCCAACTAAAGGGTTGATTCAATATTTTATATATAAACAAAAAAATGAGTGATCACTAACCATTAGAAATATCTGATAGTGGAGAATGTATCAGCACATCCAAAGGCAAGCCTTGATGGTCATAGTTATTTTCCCCTGTACTTAAATATGTTGCTCTTAAGGAATTATAAGGAATAATCAATCTAGACTTTCAAGATGAATATACACATTACTACTAAAAAAATTTTAAATCTAAATGCATGCCATACTCTTCCTACTAATAATATCTATACGGTGACGCCGTGCATTAAGTTGGGCTATGCTATTGCCTGTTTGCAACAATTGCACATCATTTTCACTATCATTCGAACTCCTATGCCCTGAGAAATGCATAATCACACTTACTCTATAAGTTGAAGTTGCAAGTTAATACTTTACATACAATGACTACATTTAAAAGGGTCACATGTACTTTTTTCCTTGAGAATTTGTTTATGATGATGTCGTGCATGAACCTGGGCTTCATTATTTCCCTCATGTAATAAATTTACACCTTAAATAATCAAATAAATATTGAATGAGAATAATAAACATGTTTCATGAAAATTAGTGTTCAAATATGTGTTAGTATAAAAAGATATGATACTAAGAAATATATCACAAACCATTCGAGATATCTAACAATGGAGAATAAAGCACCGTATCACTTCTCAAGCCTTGATGGTCAAAGTTATCTTCACCAGCATTTAATTGGTTATGTCCTAAGATATTATAATGGATAATCAATATATAACTACAAGTAGAAGGTATATTATACCACCAAGAAAGTATAATTACAAAAATATTACATACTTCTTTTATTAAAAATATCCAGGCGATGGTGTCGTGCTTGGAGCTGGGCTAAGCCACTGTCTATGTGCATTGAAATTAGACCTTAAAAAGAAAAACAACTAATTAATAAGTATGAGTATAGTTGTCAAAAATGCGACTCAACTCATTAAGTTGATTGAGTTAATATCTGTATCTTAGGAAAATGAGTCAACTCGTATGTAAACTTGCTTCTATACAAACTGAGTGAAATCATTTATCACTCGTATAAAAATAGTAGAAATTAATGCGTGTTAACACAGTACAAAAGCCATTCATATTCTGAATCATTTTGAGGTAAAATCAATCAAGTGTCACACATTTGGATGCTAGAACCTATGCTATCTATGCTATTGCCCAAATCTTTTAAAGTTATATCTATATATATTTTGTACATTTATTTATTATAAAAAATATAAATTATTTGTTTCCATTGAAAAAAATTAATTTTCAAAGGTTATCCAGAATTAATTTATAAGATAACATAATTTGAACTATATAATTCTACATTAAAGTTATCTAAAATTTAATTTATATTTATTATTATTCCACTTGACTCATTTTTATCAATAAATTATATAATTAATTATGTTGGAGGTCATAAAGTAAGTTAGCAAGTAATATATTTTATGAATTTCCATAAAAAAAGTTATTTTTTATGAATTTATGAATTTTATCTTCACAATTCATGACCAACTATTGTCATACTTCACAAAAAAGTATATTTTAGGAATTTACATGGTAAGGTCATATAACTGACTATGTTGGAGGTTAAAAAATAAGCTTATTTTTCATAAAACAAATTTAAAAAATATAAAATATATTTATGTACGGTCTCTACGACGAATAACGCATCAAAGTTCATTTCACCACCACAGCACCAACCCTAGAATTATTAATATATGAATTTAACATATTGATACCCAAACAATTAAATAATATATGGAACAACTGGTTGCAGAATTCAAAATATATAAATATGGGAGGAATTAATATATGAATTTAACATCATGATACCGAAACAATTAAATAGATTAATATATATATCTTATCATATTTATAATTTTTAAAATTCATGAGAATAGATTTAAATAGTAAAATATAAACAGATATATATTAAAGTAAATTTTAATCCTAATATACATACATACATATATGTATGTATGTATGTATGCATACTCATTTTTGCCATAATAGTTGGGAATATATCATATCAGATTTCATATATTAATTTTTATTATATTTATAATTTTTGAAATTCATGGGGATAGATTTAAATAGTAAAGCAATATTCTTTTTTAAAATATTTAAATAGATATGTATTAATTTAAATTTGAGTCCCAATATATATTTGAATATAAATATCCTAAAAATTATGAACCTAGAATTTCGCCATATATTTAGTTTGGATAGAGTGTTTAAATAAATAGATATTAATTTAAATACATATATAATTAGATTTGAATTTTAAATTGGTAAAAATAGATTTTTAAACACATGTTATTTTTTCTAAATATTTAAACACATACATATTGATCTAAAATTTAATACATATATACATATACATGTGTGCTAAAGTCTTTCACGGTGACCTGATATGAATATGCATATTATATATATATATATATGTATATATATTATATAATATAATATATTTAGATATTATATTTAGATATATATTAAACTAAATATACATGTCTCGAAGCTCCTTCACGGCAACCTTATCTGTTGTTATGCGTCTATGTATCCATATATATACATGTGTGTAAAGTATGAAGTGGACCTAGATTTAACTCACAGCTAAATTGAACTCGCATCATTCAACACATATACGTGCACGAGAGAACACAGATCATGATGAATTGAATATACATGTGTGTGTGCGTACTTGATGTTGCAGAGAGAGAGAGAGAACAAAAGAAAGGGTCTGTGTGTATTAGGGTTTCAAGAAAAGAAGAGAGAAATGCGCGAGGAGGAAGAAAGGGATGGTTCTGTGGGTTTAAGCTAGTATAATTCATACAAAACATTATAAATAATTATAATAAATTATTTTCACTTACTCTTTACACTTTATTTCTTCCAAGCCCTACCATCATTATCGCAATTCATAAAGAACTCAAACCTATCATTATCAAACCAGATTTAGCTCACCTTTTATTTGTCTATATGAATCAACTAACCTGTAGGAATTAAAATATGAATGCATATGAAGAGAGCTTAATATAAGTGTATAAACTAACATGTATGAACCTATCACGTTGCTCTCGATCAATTCTCAAATTGGTCTCCCAAAATCAATGAATGAACATGTACATAGGAGGCTCTATTTATAATTAGCAGCAATGTTGATGTTGGAGGGAATTTTGAATTTAAATTTCAATCAAATAAAATTTAAATGAAATTAAAACCCAAACAAAATAACTTATTATCAGCTGAAGTAAGGATGATTATTAATATTAACATATATAAATTGAAATTAAAATTCAAGCAATCAATTTATAATCTCTATATAATTTAAATTTAAATTTGAATTTGAATATATTTTATAATAGTTTGCTTTTAAATAAGTATATTTTTCATTATCTACTATCTAATTATATAATGATATGATCAAAAATATATTTTAGTTTAGATTATATACTTCAAAAAATATATTATTATGAAAAAAATAATAGAAGAAAAACATATCAAGAGCTAATAGGTCATTTTTAAAATTTGGTCATCTTAATTTTTTTTTCGCACCTTAATTTTCTATCAAAACATTTAATATTAAAATAATTTTTTTAACTACAGCAAAACATAGAGAAAAAAATTCAAAGAACTAAAATTGGACATTATAGCAAAAAAAAAAAAGATAAACATATCTAGAGCTATTAAACCATTCTTAAAATTCGTTCATTCTATTTTTTTCCACCTCAATTTTCAATTAAAATGTTTAATATTAAATATATATAAAAATGATTATTTGAATTTTAAATAAATAGACCCAAAATCTTTAATTCTAACCGACATATTTATACTTTATTATAAGATAGATATTAATTTTTCTAAACAAATGTTTTAAATTAAGGAATTTTATCTAACAGGAATAGTTAACTGAATATATAATATGCTCATCTTCAATACTTTTTTAATTCTATTTCTTTTTAACATATTTGTAATTGAAACAGATAGATCTAGCTAAATAAAAATAAATGCCAATCAGATTTTAAAGAAGATTTCAAAAATTATATGCATATTTGGATCTTAATTTTTAGGAAATTATTAGGATAGATAACAAATTTAAAATCAGCTTATTTTTTCTATATATATATATATATATATTAATTTGAATTCAAATAGATAGATAGATACTTTATTATATCAAGCTAAAATTTAGGAAAACATTAGGATTGATTGAAATGCACAAATTAATCAAGGTATATTGGGAGTTTTAAATACAGATTAATTTTTCTAAATTTTTATTAGAAAGATAAATATTAATTTGACTTTCTAAATTAATTAGATAGACATATAAACATAATTAAACATTGATTTCAATGTCATTCCTTTGCTTACTCTATTGCAAGAAGGATTTACCATGTATGTTTGTAAAAGGCTCTTAAACAAATATAAAATAATAAAGAGGTCCCATTTGTAGAATAATAAAGAACAATTAAATTTATAAAGGATGAAATTATTGTCATCATGCCAATAGAAGGACACAACAAAAAAATATAAAGATCTCAAAGACATTGGAAAAAAATTGAAAATAATATCCTAAGTAGTTAGACTAAGAAAAAGTTTGATCAGTGCTCATAATTAATGAATATAAAAAATATTTGATCATTTCTCTATCTTCACACGGTTCACGACCGATGAAATAAGTTCATCATCACTACTATCATTATTGACAGTCATGTCACGCATATTTTTTCCCTTTATTGAGGCACCAATTGGAAGGGCACGCATCTTGTTCACATTCGTGGAAAAATCACCACCATTAGCATCTTTCTCACTTAACTTTAGGCATGTTTTAGAGCTAATACTTTTTGAAAGAGTGCTTTCACCTGTATTACCAACTTCTGAGTCTACATGTGAAGTATCACATTCCTAATAGAATAAAATTTGTATTAAAAAATTAATATTTCATGCATTTTATTTATATTTAGAAAACAAATTTAAAAAATACTTACAGTTGTGGTTTCAGTATGACTGTCATTGTGTAGACTATTTGGAAGGTCATCTATGCCTTCCTTATATGCTCTTAATACATTTGAATCTTCACAAAAACGGGTCACTATGTGGCCAGCCAAGAAGCCTTGTTTCGCGGGGTCTCTAATGGAAACCTTGAACACAAACTCCTTCCCAATAAACTCATAAAAACAATCCGAAAGCACAACCTCATCTTCAGATTCCTACATTTATGATAATGTATTTTATGGTTGAATATCATATTTTATTTTATAAAATTTAATTATTAATATAAAATTAAAAAATAATAGAGTCATCAATATTAATTAAATTAAAATTGTCACTAATTCAATATCTATTATATGTGTATTGCTATTGCAATTTGATATTCAATATGTGTGTGCAATATTCATATTGCTATTAAACATAAAAGTGGCATTGAATACATACCTTAGGAATAGACTCTCTTAGGTGAGTAGCAGTGCAGTTTACAAACTTAGAAAATGCAGGATCAAACATAATGAATGTGTCAGATCCAGTATCATCATCTGCAGTAAATGTCACCTTAAACCTACAAACATACATGTAAAATTTTAGAATATAAATGAATATTATTTGCATTAATACGCAATTTTAACAAATACCTTGGTACAACAGTCTTGCCTTTTCTATTGCGCTTTGTGCAATAGAACCCATCACAATCAAGGAGTACTCCTTATTACATTTCTTGCATGCATTGTAGAACCAATCCCTATTGGTATTAATATCAACAACAGTGCCAAGAGTCACAACTTCGTCCTCCTACAATTATATTAGCTTGTCATATCACACTCTAACCATCATACAAAATTAATATAATATTCATAATATACTTACAATATACACAACACTTACATGTTTACAATCTGATAGTTCTTCAATCTTAACCCTATTTGGCATTGCGAGCAAAGATTCACCAATAGACTGAGAATTTTGGCTAGTCAATAGCTCTATATCTTCATCCAAGTGATTACCTGACGCCTCAAGACCAAAAATAAAATAAGATTATATTAGTATAATTTACTTCTCAAAACCATAATCATAACCCACTGACAATAGTATAAACATGACATAACATACCAAATCAAAATTTTATAGTATGACAGACTCACCTAGAAATAAAACTGGAGACCTCTGGAATTGAAGGGTGTACAAAAACTCACGAGCAATACATTGTGCTAGTAAGCCTCCTCATTTCTATGTAAGAATCAAAACATTTAAAGAGAATGTATATATAATTGAATCAATATTGTTCAGACATTTATGTGAGAACACGTACTATTGAACTCTCTAATCTTAAACCACTGCAATATGATAATAACTGGCTTTTTTAGTGCCTCCTCTGTCAAGTTTAGTACATCATCTGCAAAGGCTCCCCATAAAGTACAACTCACCTTGTTTTTCCTATAATGATAAGAATAGTATCAAATGAATTTTCATCACAGGCACCAAAAATTAAATAAGGTTTCAGGTATATTAATTGATGAAGTTTGTGTCATATTACTCTGCATCTTCTAGGCTTATTTCTATTCGTTTTTGTTTTTTCCCATCCTTAATCAGTTCCTCCAACTCTCCAATTCCAAATAATCTTCCAATCACATCTGTCATGAAAAAAAAAAGCCATTTAATCACATGTCATTAAGAAAAATAGACCATTAAAGATTAAGATGGATAAAAATAGATAATTTAAACTTGGTAATTGCCCTACTTTTATTTGATTGGCGAGTTTTTTTTTCAAAAAATGCAATAAGATTTTTAATAGATAAAAAAAGATTAAAATAGGACATTATCAAATAGAGTTTTTTGAAGAACAAATTTAGAAAATTTAAATACATACCAATCAAGTAATTATCATTCGTTGTCTACCTATCTGCAATATCTAGAATATTAATAAAATTGAAGCCAAAATGATAGATTGAACCTGTCTCAGAACGCAACTTTATAGTAGTAGAGAACATGAAGCTAATCTTATAAGGATGATCTGTTGTTTGATACGATCCAGAGCACTGAGAGACTCTAAATTTTGAAATTTCATATATTTTAAAGGGATGCAACCTATCTTCAAAACGTCTCACAAAAGGTTTTCAAATAATTGCAGAAATCCGATCACCCTATGATAAGTTGATTATTAAAGTAATACTTAATCATAAATCAATATGAAATATAAGAACAAATAATACAAAAGTAGAAATCATTAAGGAATTTGAATTTTACTAAACTTAATATATGAAATTAATATATTTTGAGTTCCAATATACATGTCTTGAAACTCCTTCATGACATATTATTTTTTACATTTCAAATATCAAAAAATCAAAATTTTTTTAGACTCACGTGCAATGCATGGGCTATATAATTAAGGGGATCCGAAAAGCAAAATGTATAAACACTTACTCCAGCATCCTGGAAGACCAATTCAACACCATTGGATTCTTCGGATGTATTTTTACCTGGTAATCTCCAGATATGAATCACCCTAACCATAATGGGCCAATCTTTTTTTGTTGTGTTGATAGCATGAATAGCATGGATTTCAAAAGTAGAAGCCATGGGTATTATGAATAATGGTGGAAAGAGAATGAACTTAATGCAATTAATTAGAAGAGTGACTCTAATGTGAAGTTGTAAAATGTGCTATTAGCCTAACCTAATTATTTATAATTGAATAAGGATGATTTGGGAGGGAAAATTAAGAGGTGATTTAAAAAAAATCAAAATGATAGATATTAAAAATTATTTTATTCAGTGTAGATATTTAAAGAATTTAAATTTTACCAAACTTAACATATGAAATTAATATATTTTGAGTTCCAAAGTGCTTCACAAAACGTGATCTATGTGTGTGTGTGTGTGTGTTTAGATATATATTAAACAAATATACATTAATAATTGTATTAATAATATTTAGATATATTTTTTAAATTTTAAATATGTAAAAATCAACATTTTTTGAGGCTCACGGAATTATGAGATTTGCCAACCACATCTATAACTAAATATATATCATTAAATTTACATATATGAGATTTGCTCACGGAATTTCAAACTTATCATTAAATTTCAAATACATTTAGTTATGGGCGTTGAGGTTAGATATAATAACTGTAAATATATTATGTCAAATTTTAGAGACTAATAAAAATAAAATTTTAATTTTTAATCTAAACATATATGTATTAATTTAAATTTGAATCTTAATATATATATCAACATACAAATACTCCAAATATTATGAACCTAAAATTTAACAATATATTTAGGTTGGATAGAGTGTTTAAATAGATAGATATTAATTTAAATACACATATAATCATATTTGAATTTTAAATGTTTAAAAATATATTTTTCAACACATAAACTTTTTCTGAATATTTAAACAGATATATTAATATAAATTTTAATCATAATATACACACACACACATATATATGTATGTAGTATATAGATAAGGAGTTATGGACGTTGAGGCTAGATATAATAACTGTAAATATATTATGTTAAATTTTAGATACTAATAAAAATTATATTTATAATTTTTGATATTCAAGAGGATATATTTAAATAGTAAAAAAATTTTAATTCATAATCTAAACATATATGTATTAATTTAAATTTGAATATCAATATATATATCTGCATACAAATATTTTAAATATTATGAACCTGAAATTTTACCATATATTTAAGTTGGAAAAAGCGTTTAAATAAATAGATATTAATTTAAATACACATATAATCAAATTTTAATTTCAAATAGGTAACAATAAATTTTTAAACACATAATACTTTTTCTAAATATTTAAATAGATATATATTAATATGAATTTTAATAATATATGTGTGTGTGTGTATATGTGTATATATACATGGAATTAAGGATAGATATAATAACTATAAATATATTATGTCAAATTTTATATATTAATAAAAATCATATTTATAATTTTTGAGATTCAAGAGGATAATTTAAATAGTAAAAAATTTTAATTTTTAATCTAAATAGATATGTATTAATTTATAAAAATACTCTAAATATTATGTCAAATTTTAGTTACTAATAAAAATTATATTTATAATTTTTGATATTCAAGAGGATAGATTTAAATAGTAAAAAAATTTTAATTTTTAACTTAAACAGATATGTATTAATTTATAAAAATACTCTAAATATTATGAACCTAAAATTTTGCAATATACTTAGGTTGGATAGAGTTATTAAATAGATAGATATTAATTAAAATTTAAATATAATTAAACTTGAATTTCAAATAGGTAAAAATAGATCTTTAAACACATCTAAAAATTAATAATTCATTCTACACCTAACTCCAAACCTAAATATCATATTTTATATTTTATAAAAAATAATAAAACTTTCCTAATCTAACTCCAAACCTGACTCCGAAGCATAGAATCACTCAAAAGGCATCTCGAAGCATAGAAACACGACAAACCTAAAATTGAACACATGGCATTCTCTCATAGCCTTAAACCCTACTTTTATATATATAATGATTAGCCTTAGTATGATTCACAGCGGTGAATGCATCATTGACCGTGGTGAATGACCTAAATTTTGTGAAATGATATTTTTTTCTTTTTTGTAATATTTTAAATGATTGATATCTCATGCTTCTATATACTCTATAACTCTAATTTAATATTATTTTAAATAATGTTTATTTATTTAATGGTGAAAACTTGGGATCTCATTTGAAAGAGAACTTTAAATATTAGATAATTTTAATTAACTAATTAATTTGAGTTTTAAATTTGTTGATAAATCATCAATTTTTGCATTCATCATCTGTAAAATCCTATAATATTTAAACTTCTTTTTAAATAGGATCTTAAATTTTCATTATTAAATAAATAAATATTATTTAAAATAAGATTAAATTAAAGTTATAGAGTATATAAAAGTATGAGATATCCATCATCTAGAAAACATTGTAAAAAAGGGCAAAAAATGTCATTTCACAAAATTATGAGTTGCACCACGGCTAACGATGCATTTATCGAGGTGAATCACGCTGAGGCTAATTTGGTTTATATAATAATTAACATTCTATACATAAATAGTGGGAGTAATTTGCTTAAAATTTTAAAGTTTAAGGTCTAGAATCAGAATACTACTAACATAATAGCTTAAGGTCTGTGACGTTAATTAACAATGACACGTTAGCATCAGCTAGGACCTATAGTGAACAGTACTATATGAATAGTAATGGAGTTTAAAAATTTAATGGTCAAGGTTTATTTTGCTATGAATTTAAAAGTTTATAATTTATTTTGTATATTTTAAGAGTTTAGGGTCTAGGGCATTTTTCAAACAAGAGTTCAGGGTCCTTTTTGCTCATTAACCCTATTAGATTTGATGGTGAGAGTGACTTAAAAATTAAAGTATATATAGGGATCAAGGTGAGATAATGAGTAATTTAATATCCAAAAAAATTTAACCTTGGTTTATTAACCTAATGAGGGTAATTAGTGAGTTAATAAGTTATGTGGCCAGAGGGGCTTAACTTGGTGTATTTTTTATGATTTTAGCCCTAGAAGTGGTCCCGAATTGAAAGCGGTCCACCTGGGCAATGAAAGAATGAGGAAGAAAAAGTAAAGAATTTTTCTCTATATCATACACTACGGCGCGTGGTTGGTTCGCCACGACGCATAGAGACAAATTTAAATGCAAGGGCTCTTTTGTGCCATGCACTGTGGCGGAGGGCAGCGTGCACCACGGCGTACAGGCAAAATATTTGATAAATCAGGTCGCGTCTATGCAAAAAAATAGAAGAGAGAAGAGGAAGAAAATGAAGAGAACATTGGAGCTCTGCTAGGGCACACTCATTAGCTCCCATTGTTGACATTTTGAAGCTCCCAAACACTCAAGGTAGGTAATCTAAGCCTTCTTCTTCCTTTCTCTCCCTCATTTATGATGATTTATAGTAGGGTTTGAGTTGAAAGGTGGATTTTTTATTAATAGGAGTATGGGTCCAATTTCATTGATTAAAATGAGTATAATGGAAGTTGTTTAATGTATTGGAATACCACATTGATGATTTTAGAAGTGGTTGGTCTATGGGAGCATTTATTATCCGAAAATTGATATGTATAAGGTAGTTGGGAGAGGTTTATGTATATTAATGATGGTTTGAGGTATTAATAGTGATAATGTGCATTAATGAAATTTAATGAGCCTATTAGGTATGCATGGGTAGTGATTATGAGTTGATAAAAGTAGAGTGTGTGAAGTTATATATGGATAAAGCTTCAAGAGTTAGAGAATGATGATATTCTTATGGTGTGGATGTAGTAAGGTTCATTGCTGGCACCATTCAAGCTTGTTGAAACTTTGAGAAGTTGTTATAGTGAGGGGTAAACCTTTGACCTCTCAAAATTTTAAAGTAATTAGGAGAAATTTAATCTTTATAGTTGAACGTTAATTGTATCCGTGAAATGTGAATTATGATTAAGATTAAAAATGTATATTGGTAAAGTGGTTGATTTGTGAAATGGTTTTGGAAGGATAACTTTTATTATGCCACCTTATATTTTATGAAATTGTTTATGATTTGTTATTATGGGTGGAGAATTGGGTTGTATTATGTTGATTTTATGGAGTAATTGAATATGGTTATATGAGATTATTTGCCATTAATTAATTCTTGAAAATGCATAATATGTGATAAATGTGCATAGTATGATCATTGGTGGGAGTTCACCTAGGGTGAGGAGCAGATTGATTTTAAATCCACGTGGTATTAACAGTAATCGTTAGAATCGAAAACTAGCCTTAGCATCGATCGTTACAATTGAGAGGTAGCCCTTATCCCATGGTTGATCTGGGACTCTCCCATTTATTCTATGGGGGACTTAAACCTAATTAGTTTCCACCAGTTTATGAGAAGGCTAGATTAGGGCTACGACATCTCACGGTTGTTAGTATTGAGAAAAACTGAATTATATAAGTGAGTGAATTCACTCTGGCCTGGTAGCTCCTCACAAGTGGAAGGCTGGGTTAGTTCGTGAATGACATAGCCATGATATAGCCACCGGTTTCACGTCGGAGGTAATAGGAGGATATAAGGTTGGCATATTATCATGTATATAAGTCTGGCCATGTGTTGAAGGTGCATGGTTGTTATTTTTGTGACCCTGTGTTATGTTTTGTGAATTAACATGATAATTGTATTGTGGCAAGCTCGATCACATGATTGTTAGTTTTATGATTCATGGCTGAGTATTATATGTGATATATGTGTTTTTGCTTAATGGCATCTATTTACAATTGATATGCAACTGTATGGGTTAAGTAAAACTTAGTTATTAAGTGGTTATACTCATCTCTTAATTCTCAATATTTTTAAGACCTAGCTCATCGAATTCGAGTTGGAAAAAACATATAAAGGCCTAGGATTTGTGGAGTAATCCTCTATATGCCTCTCTTTTGTTACTTTCATGTGTATTTATTAATGTAATTGCCAAGTAGGATTATTTGACATGATTTATGCACTAAATGCATAATTTTATGTATAACCAGTGTATTTTGT